CCTCACAACATTTACCCTGTCAAGCCCCTTACGAATCTATATGTGTCAAGGAGATCACCTCATTCTTCTAAATTCTAGTGAGTAGTATCTCAATCTGTTTAGCATTTGTTCATAAGACAGTCCCTCCATCCCAGGGATCGTTGGGTGGCGAACTTCTGATAGCTGTTCAAGACTTGTGCTTGCAAGTTTAAAAATATGTCCTCTTGTGCAATTGTCTCAGTATAATAGGAAGAAAACATTTTTCAAACCTGTTACAGAGATAGTAGGAAGAGGGATTGTTCCACGTATCCTACAAAGAGGCAGGTATAGCTTGGGACCATGAGAGGAATTGCAAGACAAAGGGGGTGGCCATGGGTACCCGCATGGGCCCAAGTTTTGCTTGCCTTTTTGTAGGATATGTGGAACAATCCCTCTTCTGAAGCTACACTAACCCTATCCCCCACCTCTTCCTCCGTTACTTTGATGACTGTATCGGCGCCGCCTCGTGCTCCCATGAGGAGCTTGAACAGTTCATCCACTTCACTAACACCTTCCACCCCAACCTTAAGTTCACCTGGAACATTTCCGACACCTCTCTCTCCTTCCTGGACCTCTCTATTTCCATCTCTGGCAACCACCTGGAAACCGATATCTATTTCAAGACTACCGACTCCCACAGCTACCTAGAGTACACCTCCACTCACTCACCTTCCTGCAAAAAGGCCATCCCCTATTACCAATTCCTTCACCTCCGCCGCATCTGCTCCCAGGATGAGGCATTCCACTCCTGGACATCTCAGATGTCCTCATTTGTCAAGGACCGCAACTTCCCCTCCACAGTGGTCAAAAACACCCTCGACCATGTCTCTTGCATTTCCCGCAACTCATCCCTCACACCCCCTCCCCGCAATAACAACGAAAACAGAATCCCCCTCGTCCTCACGTACCACCCCACCAACCTCCGGATCCAACGCATCATCCTCCGACATTTCCGCCATCTGCAATCCGACCCCACCACCAAAGACATTTTTCCCTCCCCACCCTTATCTGCTTTCCGGAGGGACCACTCTCTCCGGGACTCCCTTGTCCGCTCCACACTCCCCTCCAGCGCCACCACACCCGGCACTTTTCCATGCAACCGCAGGAAGTGCTACACCTGCCCCTACACCTCCTCCCTCACCCCCATCCCAGGCCCTAAAAAGACCTTCCACATCAAACAGATGTTCACCTGCACATCTGCTAACGTGGTATACTGTATCCGTTGTTCCTGTTGTGGCCTCCTCTACATCGGGGAAACCAAGCGAAGGCTTAGGGACCGCTTTGTGGAACACTACGATCGGTTTGCAACAAACAACTGCACGTCCCAGTCGTGAACCACTTCAACTCCCCCTCCCACTCCTCGAACGACATGTCCATCCTGGGCCTCCTGCAGTGCCACAATGATGCCACCTGAAGGTTGCAGGAACAGCAACTCATATTTCACTTGGGAACCCTGCAGCCCAATGGTATCAATGTGGACTTCACAAGCTTCAAAATCTCTCCTCCCCCGAACCTATCCCAAAACCTGCCCAGCTCGTACCCACCTCCCTAACCTGTCCTCCCAACTATCCAGTCCTCCCACCTCAAGCCCCACCCCCTTCTCCTACCTACTAGCCTCATCCCGCCTCCTTGACCTGTCTGTCCTCCCTGGACCGAACTATCCTCTCCCTAACTCATCTTTACTTGCTCCAACCCCGCCTCCTTGACCTGTTTGTCACCTCTCCACCTATCTTCTCCTTTATCCATCTTCTATCCGCCTTCCCCTTTCTCCCTATTTATTTCAGAATCCCCTTCCCCTCCCCCATTTCTGAAGAAGGGTCTAGACCCGAAAGTCAGCCTTCCTGCTCCTCTGATGCTGCTTGGCCTGCTGTGTTCATCCAGCTCTACATCTTGTTATCTCAGTTATTATGGTCATCTTTTAACCAAACCCTGCTCCATTAGTAGGTAATTACAGAAAGTCCAGTTCACTTCCTTCTTGTCTCAGAAGTTGCGGATGCAAGGACTCTCAAAGTTAAAATCCAACAAAGCACTTGTCTTCATTCCAGTTGGCCAGATAATTAAACATTCACATCCATTGTTGCCCTTTCAATGCTAATTGACCAACGCACGGTCTACTTTTGTTTTGAAGTTTCTGTTTGCGTTCCAGAATTTGCAGAGATTTTCTTTTGAATAGCTCAATTTTCCATCTGTTTTGTTGATTATGGCTAATCCTCCTGAGTTGACCTGGAATTTCCAGGAATTAAAGCTTTAATCTCCTAGACAACACTGCAAGCAACCTGGCAGAAAATTTTCAGGAGCATGGAAAAGAGGTTTTATTCGTTAGTTTGTGTTACATGTTCGTTAAGATGAGGGAGAAAATCTGTTTTTCCTGGCTGAGCAACTGGGGCTTGGAAATGATGTGATGGAACATTCTATGTCCAAACACAGTTGATGGCCCATACCAATGACATATAGCACCAATCTGTTGCACTGAAAGATTAGACAAGCTTATAACTTCCTGGAACAGTGGGAGGATCGCTACTCTGAGCTCAAAGCTGCAGGTTCAAGTGTCACTTCAGTACTTTGATGGCAGAGAAGGTGTGTTCACAAAACAGCCATTCAGGTGATAGAATCCAGCATGGCAACAGGCCTTTCAATCCAACCAGTCCGTACCGAACATAATCCCGAACTAAACCAGTCCCACCTGCCTGCTCCTGGTCCATATCCCTCCAAACCTTTCCTATTCATGTACTTATCTAAATATCTTTTAAATGCTGTAATTGCACCCACATCCACCACTTCGTCAGGAAGTTCATTCCAAACTTGTAAAGTTTATAAATCCTTCCTGAAGTCAGGTATTAAGCAAAGGAAATTTTGCTGGTCAGCAGTATCTGTACATTTAAATGCATTTTTAAATCAGGAAGCACTGTAAAAGACATCATCAAACCACTGGAAGTCCATGGTTGCCAATGGACTTAAGGCATGGTGCTTGAAACATAGCATATAGGGGCAGTGTTGTCCATTGAGTATGTTCTGCCATTCAATATGATCACACTGATCCTCAAGTCAGTACCCTGTCCCTACTAGAGTAGGTGTACTTAAAACCATGCAGAGTGCCATCATTAGCATGATGAATATCTTGAATACTGATGGCCTCAATGTGCAGCTTTACAATGTGATTTCCAGTAGAGTTACTGGGGTTAAATGCATTATTTTCATATTGGATGACCAGGGAGTTGATGGCCCATTGGTATTAATTATTGTTTGACTATTAATCAAAAGAGTCCAGGAGATGTTCTGGGAACAAGGACATGAACCCTACCACAGCAGGTGTGAAGTTTCAATTCAATTAAAAAAATCTGAAACTAACAGTCCAATTATGACCATGAATCTGTTGCCACGGAAAAGTCCATGTGGTTCACTCACGTCCTTTAGGATTATAGAATCCATACGGTATGAAAGCAGGCCATTCAGCCTGCACCAACCCTCTGGGAAGCATCCCCCACAACTAATCCACCTAGCCTGCACATCTTTGGACTGTGGGAGAAAATCCATCAGACACAAGGAGAACATGCAAACCCCACACAGACAGTTACCCAAGACTGGAAGTGAACCCAGGTTCCAGGTTCTATGTGCTGTGAGGTAGTAGCGCTAAATACTGAACCACCATACTACCCCTAGGGTTAGCCTTCTTAGGGAAGGAAATCTATGGTTTTTACCTGGTCTGGCCTACACGTGACTCCAGACCCACAGCAGCAGAAACTGAAATTGCTGGAAAAGGTATTTAACCTGCAGCAATGTTGTTGACTCTTAACTGCTCTTGTGGCAATAAATGCCCAGCAATGCCCACATCCAGGGGATGAATACAAAAGTATATTTTCAAAAATATACTTTATTTATAAAAATACCTTTATATACATATATAGACACGAGAGCAGTTAGTTTCTGTGCAGTCTTTGTGTATTGAGAACAAACATTGAAGTATGCCCCTCCTGACAGTTCCAACAAAACCCAAAGGCATTACTTTCTTACGCAACATATTATTTGCATACATTTGAGCGACGGGGAGGGTCCGATCATCGAAAGGACCCCCATTGTAGAATATAAAAATATATACTTCAAACCAAGCCATCACTCCCAACCGGGAAAGTCACAGCTGCAACCGTTATTTTACTGAAATTTAAATTTAATATACATTGGGGGACGAATTCACTATCGCTGTAACCATAGTGAAGGTCTCAATAAGACTCCTCCTCCTTCGCTGATGCAATTGCTGGTGCTTCTTGTATCAGCTACAATAGTCCAACAAATAGTGCCATTTACTATAAAATAATAATATTTATAAATGTACTTTTCAATGCATTGTTTTATGAATTGGCTCTGTACGGTAGGGGATGTTGGAGAGGCACGCTGGCTCAGTGGTTAGACCTACTACCTCACAGCACGGGGGAGTAGGGTTCGATCCTACCCTCCTGCTACCATCTGTGCGGAGTTTGTATATTCTCCCTGTGTCTGCGTGGGTTTCCTCCCACAGCCCAAAGATATGTGGATTGGCTAGGCTAAACGTGGGGGTTATAGCGGAGGGGGAGTGGGTCGGTGTGGACGTTTTTGGGCTAAATGGCCTGTTTCCACACGGTAGGAATACTATAAAAACCTACCAACTCCAAACAATCGTTTAATATTTGCACTTTCGTGTTTCATTTTTTTTTGTCCAAGGGATTGTCGAAGAGAGTGACTCTCCTGGCAATGGGGAAGTAAAGTAAGGAGTGGTCGCAGGCGGGAGTCACGGTGATGCACGAATTCCTGGCATCGATTGTTCATAAGTAAAGGCAGGATTAAAGTGGTCACTACAGTCTTTGACGAGAAAATTAATTGGGATTCCAGAAATTTTTTTTTAAAAAAAACAGATAGCATTGTCACTGACAAAGAAACATATATGTATTGTGAGGCTCTAACTGGATCGTCAAAAAAATTATACATTCGCTGTTATCCCGGTTACTTACGTGATAAATTTTAAATTCTACCCATTCAGCATCCTGCTGCTTGCATTTTGCTGCCTGGTTAAACAAAAGGGACTTTTGAGAACAAGTGCCTGTATTTAAAGGGGAGGTTTGTGATCCTTAGTCGCTCTGGCCACATTAATGTGAAATGTTTTCTCTCCCTGGCTCTCGGAGAAAACCATTTCCTCGGCTTTGTTCAATGCAATTTCCAGTCTACATGCTCCGGTCACATAACTTCCATTATCGTATCTTCGAGGCTGGGTTTTAAGGAGGAGATTTGATACGGATGTCTGTTTTCATAAGTTACGTTGCTACAACATTTTATGAACAAGGGCAGGAAACACAGAAAAGACACATGGAAGATTTCTGTCAATTTTAAACCTCAAAATAATTTCACTAATATATTGTATTCACTAATATAATGTCTGAATTCAGATGTAATCGTTTCACGGTGATCGTTGTAAGGTTTTGTTTACAAACATTAAAATTATACATCTTCCATTCACAATTGGAGACGGGTTCTTAGTAATGAGGAAATGACAATAGCTCCTCCCTGAATCTGATGCAATTCCCCAAATACTTCTTATACCCAGCTAGAAAGAACGTCTCTCACAGTGCAGACGAGACACGCACCGGAGTAACATCGCTTGTTCGGATTTTCCCTTAGCCTTTTAACATACGATTGTAAATATATACATAGATTTCAACTGGACGAGCATTAAAATCTAGCTATCTGAGAATTAACGCAGACCTTGAAATAAGTCGAACTCCTATCGCTGTGATATTTTGGAGCCAAAATAGCGACCGACTGCTTGGTGAAGAGATTTGAATTGTAACTGAAGAAGCAATAAACGCCTTATCGAGGTCTGGAAGGTAAGATATGTGTGAGCTATTGTTAGTGTAACCAATTGGCTAAATGTATCATCCTGCAAATGACTTGATGCATTGTTACCTTTAACGCGCGGACTTGTCTCCTATTGCATCAGCGTTTCACACACACAGCATAAATATATGTATTGCGATTAGTCAGTCGGAAGAATAGGTTGATGTAATAGCTGGCGGTGCCGCCTTCTCATTTTCTGGCATTTTACACTTAACATAAAAAATGAGATTGTTATTCGTGTGTTTTTTATGGTTTTCAAATGATATTACCATTTTATCTATGCAGTGTCTGAATCTGATCTTTTTTGGGTTCCTCCGTATTTTCGACTTTGTCTCCCTAAGTCATTTGGCGCTTTAATCAGCTAGGCGAAAGGAAATTGTATTCTTGTTGCATCCTCATGACTCACTCGAACACCACCCAACCTTCCCGCGGGGATTGGGAGATCGTTCCTTAGGATGTTGTAGTGATCCCGAGTTAGATTTGTAGAGTCACATAGAGGGGCCACGAACAATAAAAGGAACCTAAAATGAAGGGTGAGAGATAAGCAGTTGCAAATGAAGACCTCAAGTATCAGGAAGACAGAACTGGGAGGCTTTGGTGCATCATATTTCTCCAGTGAATGAGATCTGGCTAAATTAATGTCGTGCACAAGCTGATCCTCGGTTTGAATGAGAGTAAATCTATGTCCAGTCTTCTCTGCTGCTGTGTTTACATTGTGTTACACTGCTCCGAAAACCCAGCACGTTGTTACTATTCAGTATTTTTCCATTCGGTTTGCCTCTGCCCGTTGTGAGCCATGTGAGGTGAGACAATTAAGGAGGAGATTCTGCTGGTTACTTGGATATTGATGTTTCATTATTTCCTTAGGGACCACAAGGACAAAGCACAGGCAGAAGGAGCATCGTCTCCCTGGGAAGAAGGGATAGGTGGCATATAAATTGCCAACGACAACTGCAGAGAGACAGATAAATACAACATTAGAAGTGCTTCAGAAAACCCACCATGACTATAACGGAGATGAACAAATTTAACATTAGTCCTGATGACGACAGCAGCAGCACGAACAGCAATGAATACAACTACCCAGCAAATACTACCACGAAAAAGGTTCCGATTAGCAGGTGAGGCAGGGCTGCTAATCTCTCATAATGAGAGATGTCATTGTATGCTGGGGACTCTGCTTCGAAGAAAATTATTTGCAACACAAATTTACTTTGTGCTACCTTTACTGCATTGAAATGGGAGCCCATCACAAGGCTTAATTAATAATTCAAATGTCTCAACTCGTGAGTTGATGCATTAAAGATTAATGATTTACATTTAGTGGAAGAGTACTGGTGAATCATTCCTGTATAACGCCACAATTTCTTTTATCTTTGCAGTCAGTATGTTGATATGGATGCAGAAAGTCAAAATTTTCTGCCAAATTTGTACTATGGAAAAAAGAAATTTGAAGAAGAATATGTAAGTGTTCTATACTCTGTTTACCATCCTTTTTTAGAAATCAGTTGTTGAGATTCTGATGTATTTGAAAACATACTGCTGCAGAGCAGCTGTGACTGTTTTATTCTTTTATTTCTCCAGAGGGCTGGGAATACTTCGTTTGGCATTTCTGCATTTAACCTCAGCAACGCAATCATGGGCAGCGGAATTCTTGGCCTGGCATATGCCATGGCTAACACTGGAATTGCACTTTTTGTGTAAGTGTTTGAAATACGACAAAACAAAAAGCACGTGCTTTGTAAGATGCAGTTCTTAACCTGCTGACACTGCAGTGCAGCAATGACTGCAGCAGAACCTAATGCAGTGTTTTACTGTGAGCCTTACCTACCATATGACTCCTCCCCCAGGCATTGAATTGACTAAAGTGGGATTTTAAATGCCACAATCTTTTAAAATCATGAGATTTTAATATACAGCCAGGTTTGCCATTTTTGATAACACTTAAAATCTTATTACAGATGACTAACACTAGCAGCAACAATCGAGAGTTTCATATAGGAATGTGAGCTATGATACATTTTGGCACAGAATTAGTAGCTTTCCACATTTAGAGGAAAAAATGCTAATAACAGCTTCCACATGATTAACAATGAACCAACAATTCAATTTGTAGGTGCAGTTACACATTAAAACTTCAGATTATAATAAATGGGAAAGTTAGAACATGATTTTCTGCTTGACTTTATCTTCAGCCATTCTGTATGTATGATAGTTTTAATATTTTAAATCATCCTGAAAAGCGATCTTAGCACGTAAAGTTATCACAAAAACAATGAGTGATAGATGCATCTTGAGTATGTTGGGAGGAGTGGACATTAGAAGCATGGGACAGTTCAGCATCGATCAGTTGTCCAGTCAGTTCAAGACAGTAAGACCATAAGAAATAGGAACAGGCTAAATCATTCGGCCCCTTGAACCTGCTGTGTCATTCCTTAGGATCGTGGCTAAACTGATTAATCATTTATAAATGGAATTCAGGATGGCTTCCTTCTGATTATAACAGTGAGTTATTAAAGAAAATCTTGAGTAATTGCACAAGACAGGATGACAGTGCTTTCTTGAAGGTGCGGTAGGGATGTTTACAAACAAAGCATTCAGCAGTAACTGGTTGGAATCGGTTGGATAGATGAATGGAATTAGATCTTTAAGCCTGTTTTAAGAAGGTCAGACTTGTGGAATGTGTTGTGACGTCTTAATGGTCATATGTTGGATTACATTGTAAAACTAGATTTTATCGTATGATTGTAGGTAGCCAAAAGGCAACATGTGAAAACATACAGACTGTAGTATGGCAAAACAATGACTTGTTTTGATATCTTTCTACTGATATAAATTACATTGTTTAGAATGCCCTCCATATATTAACTTAACAAACATTTGAAATATTTAGCTTGGAGTGACTAATCTAAATAAGGATGAGTTTCTTTTTATGAATGAAGAGAGTATATTATGGACCTTCTAAGCCATCTGTGGCCATCTCAGATCTTTCACTTAGTAAGATTACTCATGTTGATATAATATCAAAAGTACTACTTCAACTACAAAGCAATTCATCAGTGAAAATATCAACATTTTCTTAACTATGAAGCACATCTATGTTCAATTGTGCATTGTTAAAATTCAGACATGGTTCATGCTAATGCCATGCTAATGTGCCAAGATTCAGTCTGAATTTAGCAAATGAGGGTTCTGTTCCTGAACTGTGATATAAGAAAATACCTTACTGGGTTTACTTAGATGTGCATGGTAACTTTTTAAACTTGGATTTTTCTTTTGAAAGCCAATTGCCTTTTAAGGATGTCTGTTGCCCAATACGATAATGTGTTTATTTTGAAATGCAACACAAACAACGCAACAAAGTAGGGTTAATGTATCTTAAGAATGAAGTCAAAGGGAGGTACCCAGTTGCTTATGCTGGTATAACATTATCATGAATAGTTACTGTAATGATCATAAGAATCTTTTAAAACTTCAAACAAAAGATTGAGTTTAATTTTATTTATATAACACTTGCCATTGGGGGAAAAAACATGTGACATCGGCTGCAGAGACAATGGATTGCACTTTATTCCAAAAGGAGCTATTTGTTGTTTAACTGTAGCATCAATTAATTCATATTATCTGCTACTCTGAGAAATGGATCTTCAATGGATTAGAGCAGTGCATATTTAAAATTACTACATACAGGGAAGTGATTGTGAAGAAGAATCCCTTGTATGTGAAACTCAACCTGAAACTGATAGTCAGCTTTATGCTGAAACCTTTAAAATCAAACAGATACCATTTCTGATGTTAACCATAATAGTAAAATACGCAGTGAATCCAGCTTTTTAAGCTATTCATAATCACTACAGTTTAAGTTTTTTTATTGTCTTAAATTAATATTGTGGACCCCAAACAGGTTTCAAACCAGATAACCAATTTGCTTTTCAAGCTCCATGGTCACAAATTGACAATCACTTTATTGCATTAAAATTAAATTTGTTAATAATACAGCCAGGTATTTTGATTCTATTGTAAATTAAACTCCAACCACTATTTAAGGAGGTTTCACTATGTTGTTTATGTTTCAATTCATCTTATTTAAATATGTTATAAACATTTTAATTACAATATGCCTTTCTTTCTTTTCCAGGATCCTTTTGAGTGCTGTAGCAATATTTTCATTATATTCCATACATCTTTTATTGAAGACTGCAAAAGAAGGAGGTAATGGATATGCTTTTTCTCAAATGAGACATCTAATCAACACTTATTTTTATCAACATTTTCCTTTACCTTATCTTATTATATGTTTCATTTTGTTTAGGTTCACTGGTCTATGAACAGCTGGGACTCAGAGCATTTGGGTTGCCTGGGAAATTGGCAGCATCGATTTCAATCACAATGCAGAACTTTGGAGGTAAAATTCTTGTGCCTCCCTCAATTAGCATTTTATTCATTTAAAAAGGACAACTTCCTCACTAACGTCTACTTATTCCAACATGAGCACTTTTAGATTAAACATCACAGCGTAGAGAGTCTATAATTTTTGCTTTGTTTCTTTTCCCCCTGTTCATTTTCTGACTACAGCTACATCAAGCTACCTCTACATAGTGAAATACGAGCTACCAATAGTCATTCAAGCTTTCCTGGGACTTGAGGAAAACACTGGGTATGTTGAATGAGTTGATTAATAATGTTAGGCACACTTTGGCATCTCCTTTTTAATTCAGAACTTTTCAAGAAATAAGTCTTTTCAGTAACTCCCTTACCTACTCATAATTATCATGACAGTTAAAAGTCTACATCACATAATGAGAAAAACCATGTAGGCTTGGATTTGAATGCAAAGTTGACAGTAATCTGTCTTCAAAATTTAGCTCAGACAATTGCTTTGTGTCAGTTCCTTGGGAAAGTACAATGCTTCACTTGACCCAATATGAGTATCTTGATAACAAGGTGCAGGGCTGGATGAACACAGCAGGCTAAACAGCATCATAGGAGCAGAAAGGCTGACGTTTCGGGCCTGGACCCTTCATCAGAAAATG